GAGAGAGCTCGGTACACGAGCTCTCTCCGGTCCCCTCTCCGCTGCAAGAATGCGGAAGTGTTGTATAATACATCACTTCCGCATTCTTGTGTCACTCTCCAGCTTCAGAAGCTGGAAAGAAGCTGATGGAGCAGATCTCTGCTTCATCAGCTTCTTTTGGGGGGTCCTAGGTGACATTAGGGGTCTTAGAGACCCCTGATGTCTCCATAAAGAGGACCTGCCACATATTTTGCTATCACATGGGGGGGTTTATTAGCCCCCGTATGTGATATCAATAAAGTTTTGTGAAAAAAAAAGGAAAAAAAAATTAAGGTCCCCCCAAAAAAAATTTAAGTAAATTTAAAAAAAAAGTTCCCCCAAAAAATTTTTAAGTAAATTTAAAAAAAAGAAAAAAAATTTTAAGTCCCCACCCATACATACACGCATGCAAACATGCGTCGGGGGCGCATACGTGCAAAAACGACGATTGCGCCCATTACGCCGCACATGTTACATATCGCCGCGAACGTCGCAGTGAGAGCAATAAGTCTAGGGCCATCAATCACTGATAACACTAAACTGATGAGCGGTAAAAGCTTTTAAAGCGTCGCCTATGGCCAATTTTGGGTATGGTAGTTTTCTGCGATTTCGCGGGTGCGCGCAATTTTAAAGCTTGACATGTTTGGTGTCTATTTAACCGACGTGACCCGATCTTTTATATTTTACCAAAAAACTGGGTAATAATAAATGTTTCCTAACATAATGTTAAAAAAAACTTTTTTTTCCCCAAATTTTCTGTAATTTTTCCTAATTATAGTAAAAAATAAAAACCCCAGTGGTGATTAAATACCACCGAAATAAAGCTCTATCTGTCCCCAAAAAATGGTATAAAATTCATTTCAGTACAGCGTTGCATGACGGAATAAACGTCAGTCAAAGTACCGCAGCGCTGAATACTGAAAAATGGCCTGGCCAGGAAGGGGGTCTAAACACCTGGTCTTGAAGTGGTTAAAGAAAGAAATGCAGCCCCTACCATCAAACATGACAGAGGTTCACTGATGTTTTGGGGTTGCTTTGCCGCTTCACTGTGTGCATGGCATTATGAAATCTGAAGACTACCAAAGAATTCTGGGGTGCAATGCAGGGCCCAGTGTCAGAAAGTTGGGTCTCCATCAGAGGTCATGGGTCTTACAGCAGGACAATGACCCAAAACACATGTCAAAAAGCACCCAGAAATGGTTTCAGACAAAGGAGAATACTGGACTGGCCAGCAATTAGTCCAGATATACATGCCATAGAGCCCCTGTGGAGAGATCTCAAAACAGCAGTTGGGAAAAGAAACCCTTCCCATCTGAGAGACCTAGAGCAGTTGGCAAAAGAAGAGTGGTCCAAAATTCCTGAAGAGAGATGTAAAAAACGAATTGATAGTTACAGGAAAATATTGATTTCAGTTACTTTTTCCAAGAGCTGTGCTACTAAATATTATTGAGGATGCTCTGAACGCATTTCAGGTTCTCATACAAATCCTCCTTTCTTTAGGGCTTATTAAGGGAGAACATGTATCAGGACTGTGATGGCATGAAATTGGATACCATTTTGTCTAATGTGTGAGAAGGCATAGTGCTCTTCAGCAGCTGATTTGGCAGTCTTAGGTTTGGTGGCAGCTTTAGTTTTCTTTTTTTTTGAGAATGTTATCCTTTATTTTCACCTGGTGATCTTGCCAGTAGTAATACATTTCCCCACCAAGGATGACAACACTCACTTACAGTATTGTATCTGGACTAGCATTGTCACCCCCAGGACAAGACTACAGAACACCTTCTCTCCATATCAAAGGTTGAGAGAGAGCTGGGAAAAAAATGCTAACTGATATCAGTGCAGCAGAGACAGAGAGCACAAAAGTTATGAGCATACAAGGTTTTGGGCAGTATCAACAGGTATAGATATAGCAAAAGAATAATAATAATGTATTTAACAGTTAAAAAGCGAGCAAATAAGATGAGTTATGTGTTAGGACTTACATACACTTTAACATGTAGCAGAATCAAAGTGTAAAAAATATTTTGCTAATATCGTTTAAGCAAAAAAAGTAAGCATCTACTTTTATTTATATTAATATTGCATTGTATTGCTTTACAAATCCAGAATAACAGAGGTTATATTTGACATTTGCCAATCTCTTTTTGCATTTCAGATGTGGAATGATATATATGGAAGCAAAAGACTTAGGATGGGAGCCTCTGACTGAGTCATGGTTAGCTGCAAAACTTCCAGCATTTTTTACTGCTGAAGAAAGCCAAATTGTGCAGGTAGAACCAATGCTCACCATATTAACTCTGGGAGGAAAAAAATATTATCTTCTCTCATCTAAAAAATTTCCTGCTTCCTAGCCAGTCAGCACTTCAACATTTAATAAATAACCTAGGCTGTGGACAGGACATTTTTTCTTTATTTTGATACCCTTACAGAAGTAATCATGCCTCTTGTCAGGTTCTCTGCGGATAAAGACAAATGCTCTGCATTGCCAGACTGTCTATGCATTTCAACCTAAAACAACGAAATGTGTGATTTCTGGATATTCCAAAAGTGTCATTTGTCTTGTCATTTGGGATAGAATGGCTACAATGCATAAACATAGCATTTCAATGAACACTATAGATTGGGGGATTTAATTTTTTTTTCATTTTCAGTTCTAAAATAAACATATGTTTTTAAAAAATATTTTGCAAATAAAGAATGTTATTTTTAATTGCATATTTGAGATATTGCATATAGCTTCAGTGTTATCATTTTTGTCAGCCAGGGGAAGACTCCTGGACTTAGATATGCTCTTATCCTGCTTCCATTTTTAGTTGTGAGCATAATATTTTGCGTGTTCTTATTAAAAGTGATATCCTTTACACTATGCTTTCTCTTATTATATATGTTTTGCTTCCTCTTCTAATATATCTGCCTGTCTATCTATCCCTCTGTCTATCCTAATAATAAAAAAGAACAAACAATACCAATCAAAAAATACCTGCTCAACTGACAGCTCACAAGACTCTTGTGCACAGTATTTCACTGGGTTTAAATTGGCCATCAGATCTGTCAATCCATAATGTTTGTCTTTCTTTCCAATGTTACATAAAAACCTGTTCTTTACACTAGAGATACCATTTCAGCAGACATTAGGGCTGGTATTTTACATCATAGGAGGGACATTAATGTACAGGCCCCTTGCTGTGCTGCAGCTAGTCTTTCCTGCACTGCCCAGTTATTTGTGAGGAGGGGAACCCCAAGAATCAGGGACAAAAGTCCATGTGTATTACCCCATTGGATATTTCCTAATAAAAAGAAAAATCTTCAAGATGTTGTAATAGAGTAGTGGTTGTAAAGCACCTAAGCATACCTTCACCTAGAGCATTAGAAGTGTGAGCTTCAGAATTAAAGTTTTATTATAAGATCAAGGAAACAAAATAAAAGGGGAATGTACTTTTAAAAAAAAAGACATGACTGCAGATAAAGCACATTTTAGCATGCTTTCGAGTCACCAAAGTGATATGATTAACATCCATGAGGAATCCAGGTAGTAGCAGGGGGGAAATTAACAATACTCCTCTGATGGTGCAGCTGCCGGGGTAAAGCAAATTATTACAAGAAAAGAGAATGAAGAGCATCTCTCTCTATGTGTGTGTATATATATATATCTCCGCAAATTGTTTTCAATAACCTGCAAAAATGCCAAGGTTACTTATTTAGGCACAAGCTTATTATAAAGAAATGTGCCTTTTAAAAACCATAGCCTTTATTCAGTGGCTGGCAAATGAAAGGGGATGTTTGCGTACGTGTGTTAGCTAATTTAATAACCTCCATTATTTGATTTCTACTCCGTGTTAGTGGGAGCTGATAAAGTGTACTGCAGAAGTCATGCTATCAATAACTTTGAAGGAAATAGCCAGCCTTGCTAGGTACATAGTCTCACTGAAGAAAAATGCTGTTTCAGTGGCATGACAATAATAATATGAAATATTCCAGCATCCATAGCTGACATTTATCTCACTTAACACAAATATGGAATTATTATACTCTAATAGATATGAAATTAGCCCATTACAGACAAAGACCATTATAGGGAGGAGGGTTTATTATCAGGAAAGATATGTTATTATATGGGGCTTTTGGCAGGTAGCTTGGGAAGTCAGTCTTGTCATGGTGCCTGACCTGTACACTTATTTGAAATGCACTGGGAAGGAGTATAATTGCCCTGTTTTGTTAAATGATATAAAGCTAAACCTTTTTCTTCTTTCTACCATTTGAATTTTATTTAGAACCTTAAAACAAAGCTGCCCAAAAATTAATTTGTAAAATGTATATGATATTGCAATAACAAATGTAATGGCTAAAACCTTTACTAATCTTTTAATAAATATTTTGTAGTAGTTTTTAGCTGTTGTTAATATACAGTGCCTCCACACTTTACTGCCTACATAAATAAAGTATTACATTATAATTATTTAGAGACTATCACCAGAGAGTTACTGACAGAAGCAGAAGCAGCTGACAGAGCTGCACAGAGAGTCTGCAGATCATCAGTGAAGCAGTATTACCCCATGCGTCCCCTGCAGTTGATCATGTGACATCATGGATCACACCAACAAGTGCATGGAATGCCTGGGGCATTATAACTATTCCTGTTATAAGCAGCTTGCTTGCACTGCCCTGCCTGGAGGATCTTCTGTCAGCAGCAGGTATGAGCAAATCAGCCTGGGTTTGATTTACTGGTCATTCAACTAACCCATCAAAAATCAGGGAATTACAAACATGAATCCAAACCCATTTTAAGTCATTAAGAGGCAAATCTTAAAAATCCTAGAAATCAGTTCTGACCGTTCTAAGGCTACTAGGCAAGGGATTATAATACAAATGGCATTGGGAACTACAGAAAAACATGTACCAATGCAAACAAAATAAAAATAGAAATACCATTCAGCAAGGAGAGGGTCCTACTGTTTATGCAATTTCAAGGGCAACATGAAAAAAACACAAATCCTTTTAATTTCATGTTTAGGAGATACCTTGAAGCTGTATGGTGTGTTATGGAACAGGGGCAAGCTGAATGTCTGACACATCTTGCCTGGCACACATACTGAACCTTATCATGCCCTTTGCGTGCAGAACATCACAACACACCTTTGCGTAACAGAGGTGTGTACAAAGCTCTCTCTCTTTCATCTCTCACATTTGCCATAGTTGCCATCACTTTCATTAAATCTGGTATCTGGCTCCACTGCACTGGAGGCATAACTGCAGGAGGGAAACCAATGGACATGGGCTGGCCACTCTCACACATGTTGGCTTTGGTTTACCACTTTTCCAGATGCAGTCAAAGCTGTTCTTTGTGTGCTGCATGTCACCACATTTTTCTGTGGAATGCACCAAATGGCACCCCTTATTTTTCCCCCTCCATTTCCCATATCTGCCATTAAATGTAATTTGTCCCCTTTATTAAAAATCAAGGTCTGCAAGGCCTATTGTGACTAAAGTGTGAGGCAGAGAGTCTACCTGATTTTATGCACATAGAGATTCATTTTGCTTTACTTTTACTTTTTCTTTTTAAAGGCTTTTTTAAATATAATTGTAAGGCCATCCCTGCACAATTGAAGCAAACATGGGCAGGGACAGCATACAACATGGGAGCTACCTACGAAAAACATAAAAAGAGGGTTACCTGCAAGAAGGCTGCCAACTTAGACACTTGCCTTGCAGAGGTGATGGTTTCAAGCAATCCTAACTTTTAATAGGAATGTCTCTAATTTAAAAAAAAACAATGCACAGGCAAAACCAACAAAAGAGCCATGTATGAATGGTCCATACCAACCATTTTCCCACTCACCAACAGTACTTTTTATGTTATTTTGAAAAATCAAGATTAGTATTTGTTTATCTTGTTAGATGTTTATTGTTCATTTTTACTGGTATATACCAGTAAAATTTTTTATTGGTATATTTTCATTATTAGGCTGTCCTTGCCCTGGTGAAGCAAACAGCGTGGGCAAAGACAACAAGGCTGTAAATAAAATGCTTGCAAGTTATCATATCCATATCATTATCATATCCATGAACTATTGGGTGTCACCTCTGGACCACTTGGTTGCATTGCATTCTTGCAACATGGGTTGAGGGTTAGTTTTTTGGGGTGAAGATTTTTTTATTTTTGGTGGTTTTAAAAGGATGGAGTGAGGTTATGGTAATAATAAAGGGCGCCCTTGTACAGACTGTCAGCAACAACTTCATGATGTGGTCTAATTAACACTAATCTAAAAGTCATAACTTAAAGTATAACATTATAGATAAAAATGAGGAGTTACACATTAAAATAAGAAATGCAGTGTTTTATTTCTGACAGAAATATTATGTAGCATGTAATTATTTTTGCAATCAAAATTAGAGTGTATTATTTCAAAAATCCAAAAATATCAGACAAACTTGATGCATACTATGTAGGCAGCTTTATTAGACCACGTTGTAAGAGGAAGACACTAGGCAGAGTGTATTATTTCACTGAAAGGAGACAAAAATATTGATCAGTCCATGCAAACTAGGACTGCACCGATACCGGTTTTTCGGTATGCAGTACGAGTACCGATATTTTTTTTACTCACCAATACCGAGCGAGTATCTTAAGGTCCCATTAAAGTACTTAAAGTCCCATTAAGGAAGCTATGCGGCGTGAAATGACTGACCACCTGGCTTCTTGTTTAGCGGGGAAGCCGAGTGGCATGTAAAGACTCGCCACCCGGCTTCCCGATCAGCAGGGAAGCCGTCTCCATGCTCCCTCATCACCAGGTGACAAGGCAGCATTGAACAAGCTTTGTGGCCAATCAGGAAGCCAGGCACCGTCTAATAACGCATTGTCTGGCTTCCTGATTGGTCGGGAAGCTGGCCAACCAGGAAGCCGGGCAACACGTCATTACACGGCACCCGGCTTTCTGATTAGCCAGGAACCCAGCTCCATGCTCCCTCATCACCAGCTGATGGGGGAACATGATGTCAGCTTTATGGCCAATCAGAAAGCCGGGGGGCATGTAATGACACGCTGTCCAGCTTCCTGATTGGCCGTCCCCATGTTCCCTAATCCTAAGTGACGAGTGAGCATGGAGATGGCTTCCCGGCCAATCAGGAAGCCGGGCAGTGTGTACTGACTCACTGCCCAGCTTTCTATTACTGGAAGCTCAAGTATCGAGCTAGGCATCAGAGCATTTCGACGAGTATGAGTTCTCGCCCAAATACTAGTATCGGTATTGGTGCATCCCTAATGCAAATTATG